ATTTAAACTTGGGACCAAGGTTATTTATTGTTAATAGTGGATTCACAGTGTACTATGAAATAATAAGTATGATAATAAAATATATCTGGACAAATACAAAAATGAATAGGCTTGGATGCACCTCATGACGAATCAAGCATTAAAATAGACTGATCTCTTTGTTATAGTGTAGGTCCAAGGACAAAATTAGCCAAGCAAATGTACTATTGGTATGCTGCACTACCAAGCATATTTAAAGTAATTTGCTGAATTACAGAACAGAATATAATAATTCCGTTTATCGCAAATAAATGCGATATTGCCTCCTGCAATTGAACCGTATGAATTCTCATCACGTCTCGCCTCTGTGACAGAGCCATCGAAAAACTCAATCCGCAAATTACGGATTCCCAATTTGATCTCTGCCTAAGGGACTCTTCGCCGTATTGATTGGTGTCATGGCAAACACTTTAAAGAGTTTAGTAGTGAGAATACAACTAGCATCCTTAGGCTTTTGAGAAAAAATTACCTGGCTATTTATTGGACTAATAGGTATTGAGGTCCAATCTACGCATCACATATTAAACATGGGGCTAGAAGGTCATCTCAAACATGTATATGAATATTAACTAGTTTTTTCTTGTAAAGTACATTTATTTTGGGGGTCTGTAGAAATTTCTAGGAAATTGTTCGACAGAGCTGTGCAGCAGATCAATTTACACTAATCAACTCATGTCCTTTAGACCATCCTATGAATACTAACACAATACTAAATGAAACATAAATTAAAATGTCGGTATTTAAAAATATGCAGTATGCAAAACAAACACTTCCTTTTTGGTAGTGTATTTTTAATGCTGTCTGTTCGTGAATTTCTACTGAGACAAATTGATGATATATTCTAAGTCGTCATTTAGTTTTAAGTGGGTTTTGTGCAATATATGGCATATTAATGCTTTAATAATGTAAAGCTATTAGCTGGGTAAATATGAAAAAAAACCAAGGATTAGAACCAGGGATACAAAGATAAATCGTTTATCACACGAGGTGAACATCATCAACTGATACAGAAAAAGGATATTATTTTCTCAATTCACTGTTAACCTGACAATACAGAAATCATAAAGTTCCAACAATGCTTGAAATTATAATTATCAATAAATTGTGAAAATAAACTACCTCCAAGTTGAATTTCCTACAAAGGTTAATCTATTATACAACTATAATCTATTATAAATTATTAATGACCTAAACAAACATTACTGTTTATAACACATGCATGAATTCTTTACTATCTATATTTAAAGAAAACAACAAATGTTAAAATGTTATCTTCCTGTGAACTCAGCGACACTTCTGTTTGCATCAAGACAGAAGACCAACAGGGAATTGAGAGTAATTGTGCCAGAATTTGTACAGATTTGTGAATTCATAGTTGGTAAAGAGCACCTCATATTTGCCTATGTTTGCAGCTTACATACATGCCAAAGGGAAATACCATATCAAATATAAAATATGAACTTTTTACTGATATAACTGTAAAATATTATAATGTACATGACACGAAAACAGGAAGAAAATAACATGCATAGTATAGCGTTCCTAAAATCTACACATACACTACAACTCATGTTAAAGGGACATTGGAACGAAACATATATTAGTCAATTGGCACAGATGTAGTGATATATACATTAATTATTTAAATTAAAGCAATTATCATTGTAACTGTGACACATATTAAAGGCAGTAAACATTATAAACCTGTTTGTTATTTAACTGCCATTCATTATCAAGTATTAAAATGAGAAAAAGAATGGATGTCATTGAATATGATTCATTTATAAATTTTATCATCTTTAATAAGATAATAAGATGCAACTTAAGGGCAGTATACTATTATTATACAATGCCAAAATGAGAAAATAACTAAGTGTTATGTTTGCTGATAATATTACAGTAGTAATAAATAATTTCCATCCAAACTAAATTTTAAACGTGTATAATATACACAATTCAAATTAACATAGACAGAGCTGAAGTGAGAATGATGAAGTGGCCATACCGTACTGGTGATTAGCAGGTTTTACCTATGTTATTATTACCTTTAAACATACAGTACAGTATACGCTGCAACACACATTCAGTATATGCTGCAACACACATTCAATCAATATTTTTTGAGAAGTCAAAATGAAAGAAAATTGTAGATTGGTGTATCATAGAAGGACATGAGAACATTTTTACTGTTGTATAATAAATACAACAGTACAATCAAGATAATTGTTTCCAGATGTGCTTGCTCTAAAAATGAGTACAGAAATGAATACAGTACACATTAATAAACTACAGGTAAAATTTATAAGACATATTGAAGATACAGTATACTGTACAGTATTGTTTTTAAACATTTTTTAATACAAAATTGAGTTGTAGATAGAATGATGCTGTGAAATTTATTTCCACTTGACGTTGAGGTAGTGAACAGAATGTGCAAATACTGTATACAGTCAAATACAGCTGTGTTTGGCAAATTAGGCCACCTTTTTGCCAAATTAAAATCAATCTTCTTGAATAACACAATCCACATTATTATAGGCACCTACTGTATTGCAAGGAAGAATCAATTTTCAACATATCTATTAGACTGTCATTCAGTGACCTTAATAATCAGACCTATATATAGCTACATTCTCATGACAATCATGAATTTTTGTTTTTTATTATACAAAATGTGTTTTAGCACTGCTCTGGCTGTACTGTATTTAAACAATGTGAGATTCTAAATAAAAACCTTAGTAGTGCTCAATGAAACCCTTGACAAATCAATCAAAGTATACAATAGCTGCTTATAATCACTTAGGAGAACAGTAAAGTGGAATTAACCTATATAATAGCAATCTATGTAAGCTCTTAAATTGTGGGAGATGGTTTATTCCAAGAACTGTAATAAAAGAAAGTACATTTTTTTTAGTCAATCGCATTTATTTTAGCCTTTATGTAAGCACACTAATGTTCAACACAAGTCTATAGGCAATGCATGATAATATCCCCGTATTTAAAGTAATTCTAAACAAAAACCTCAATCACCACCCCACACCACCCTTCCCCCCTTGATGCTTTAAATGTTGCATGTTGATCCCTACCCAGATTTTCTCTTGATCTGCCCCTGTAAGCCAAATATCCCCTCTCCTTGCATCAAACACCATTAAATGATGATGAAATTCAGTATTTACATACTGTACTGGAATACTTCAGCTCCAAAAATTATTTCCTCCGGACTCCAATAAGATCTCTTTCACTGGAACCCACCTGGGAAATAGGGAACTCTTAATGCGGGCACTACAGTAAATGCGCTTGACAGTCGTCAGCCAACACGATTCTATTGAGAACGCAACACCAGCCTGCTACCTACAATCAGCAGATGGCATTGTATCATCTAACAATCACATGAAGTGGAGTTGGATTCGCCGGCCGACTGTCCCACAACACAGTGAGTGGCCGGCCTTAAGAAACCCTGGTTAAAACAGGTATCCTGAAGCTAATATCAGTTCTACAGAATATCTGATTATCAAAACTGCTTGTCAATTTTAACAGTCTACACAGTCTACACAGAGTTTGGGTTCAGACAAAATGCAAAATTGAAAAAAAATCCAATTGATGAATATATCGCCAACAAGAGGTAGAGGCAGACAAATGGCAGCATACACATATCATAATACTTGGCAACATTTTATGGATTTGACACGGCTCACTAGCACCAAATTACTGGTATAAAATTTACAATTTTTCCCAATAAAAATTTATGATATTTATAAGAAATATTCAGACTTAGACAAAGAGCGGCCAAGAGATAAGCAGTTTACAGGTCTAGTGCCATACCTACTTAATCAGGTTTTAGGTTCAAATCTAGGTTTAAATGATATTTAATAAACATTATATTATTATTAATATACTAAATACATTGTTAGTTCATAGTAACATCTATTATGGGATCCATGGCATAGTGGAATAGTCAAAATAGCTTACATTGAATGATGACCCTCTGTGTATATCAAAAATGTCACTGGATGTAAATCATAACAACCTTATGTTTACTATGTAAATGCTTTACTACATAATGTTTTAAAAAAAAAACCATTAGAAAACATTAAGAAATGTCCTGCAAGTTGTTGATGTAATACATTTGTGCTGCCTTTTCTGGTGCAGTATTAAGTCTCACTTTCCGTTTATATCTACAAATTTCCTTTAATTGCTTGTCTTGAAATGTCACTGAAAGGTTGTAAGAAGCCAGACTGTCTACCCTCATATGAATACAGTGCACTCACGGCCACAAGTTAACACGGTCACAAACTAGCCGACCTATCATTCACTCAGATGGTGCCCGCTTCTGCTCGCTAATTTGCCATTAGGAATTACGCCAATATTTAAAAAAAAAACCGTAAACAACATAACAAAACATAGCATAACACAATGCACTTATTATACTATTATTACAGTAATTATTGAAATTATTTTCTATAAAATCTATAAAAAAAAAAATCAATCAAGTGTCGTCTCTTACAGGATGAGAGATATGCTTATAACGGCTGGTTTTCATAAAATGTTTTATGATGCTGAGAAAGTGAAGCAGGCTTCTTTAGTCATTTGAGATTTTTTTTTTTAAACTGGGTTTTTACAGGAATTGAACTACCCTCCAATACCAATAATATAATATTTTAATGTCATCATGACCAAATTTGGCATGACGCATGTTTTTGTCAAATAAAATTTGATAGTCTGTGCAGGGCTTTATGTAGTATATTAGCCACTCTGATGGTAAATTATTGAACATAGAACTCATTCATGAACAATTCGAGCACAGCTCTTTATGAAAGGCTAAGCTTGAAAAATTTTATGGTAACAAACTAAAATGCAAATAAAAAATCTATTTGCACGGTTTTAAAACCTTACTTGAACGTGGACAGGTCAATGATTTTAATTTTATGTGTCTGGTAAAAAAAATGTTATAACATACTCACCGATTGGCCGATCTTTTCCAGTGCATTCTATGTAATTTTTAAAGGCTTGTAGAAGAAAGATTGAGGCTAAGAGTTCAGCTCTTCCTACGACCCCTGTGACCTGTTTTGGAGATAAAAAGAGAAGCACATCTAATTTGAATGGTCTATAAGAAGTGTATGAATATCTACAAATGTATAGCTATTATCATCAAAATGTATTCTTATATATCTATGATTATTATGAGTTAACACAGATTAACAGCCAGTGTGTCATTTGTATTGGAATTGCAATAGATGAATCAATGCATTACTAGAAGTGTGTAGTAATGTACGATCATCACTGTTTTCTGTTTATTATTGGATACTATCTGCATGTTACATCTCTATTATCATCAGAACACACCATTTATAATGAATAATATTGATTGTATTATCATCAGAATTGGCATAAATATTTATGTATTATTACAATGTGTGCAAGGTTATTATTGTTAACTATATATTTAATAACACTTTTATATATATATATATATATATATATATGTTAAAAAAATGTTTCTGAATGAGAAAATATTTGTAGCAAAATAGTGTAAGAAAATAAAAAAATATATTTACTCAACTATTTTTACTAATTGTTTATGGTGGTGAATTGGGCAGTACACTGGGAGACAATCCCCTACTCTTCCGAAGAATGTACTGCGTTCTTTAATGTGCAAATGGGCCATATTGCACACAGGACCAACGGCTTAAATGTCTCAGATGGTGCACTATCATAACTTGTATTTCAGCCCTCCAGCTAAAACACAAGGAGAGCAGCGATGGAAATTGAACCAGAGACCTAGAGATATCCACGGTTCAGCGCACACACACAGTGGCTACCACCAGTTTAGCAAACTGAGCTAAGCTACTCTCTCTCAAAAAAAATAGTTTATTCAATTATATAAGCACTTTTTTTCTGATATGAAGTGCTTTTTCCCCAGGCCAGTGGGTGCTGTAATCAGCACAGAAGCTGGCAACCCTACTAGGTACCCATTTTTCTACTAGATATGGAGTTGCATAGCACAAAAAGTGCCTTGCTCAAGGGCACTTAAGCGAAATGCACAGCGAGGGACTGAAACTCTAACCTTGAGACAAAACCATTTCCTCTGTGCCAAACTGCTTCTAGTTGGCTACAGTATTATTATGAAAAAAAAACTACCTGTATACCTTTTCACGCATTATTACTGTATTTTATCAGTTTACAATAACAATGATAATCAATTAGGAGGTTGTTTCAATTAAGAGGTTGATTTGTGGCATTATTACATAATGAATTATATTATTACAAATTATTGTTACATCAATATTGGGACTCTATGTGCTTATGTTACCCTGGTTACAGAATAAATCATGCACTATTAGCCACTCTGATGGTAAATTATTGAACCTATGCAACCTCTTCATGCCCTTGAGAGGGCCAGGCCCCCGTAGCCAGGTTCTTCCAAGGGGGGGGGGTTCTTCTGGGCGTGAGGTCCACAGTGGAAGCACAGGTGGGGTCGGCGAAACCCCAAAGCAAGAGGATTTTTGTGCTTTATGGGTCTAAATAATGCTATAAAAGCAGATATGTTTGAAAATGTCTGTGTCTGGGTGGGTCCGCAGTGCAAAAGGGAGTTCTCCCAAACCATAAAACCCCCCCTGGACACGGGCCTGCATGCATAGCAACTGACAAATTTCATTCAGATCATTCACACCCTACAGTACAGCAATCATTATTAAACACCTAGGTGAAAACAGAGATATGCAGGTAATTGCTAAATATTTGTCTTGCACAAGGACACAAGGGCAAATGAAGAGTAGAACTGTAGCTTGGTGGTTAGGATGCTTTGCCTCTAATTTCAGGTCCTGGGTTCAAATCCTGTGATGCCAAAATTAGTTTTCATCAGAATTTATATGACTGAAGCCATATAGCTATGCCAATCATTTCCACAAAGTGTAACATTATTATTCTGTATAATGTTTTTAGGTAAATTCTAGTAATCTGCAGCGCAGCTATAGTTTGGCGGTAAAATGCCTGCCATCTAATCCCATTGTCATGGGTTCAAATCATGCCAAGCTGGACAGGATTTCTCTCACAATAAAAAAAAGGTTCAATTCAATAAAGCCTCATACTATATATGTGAGACTTCATACAGTAAGCATTTAAATTAATTGGGAGTATAATCAGTTGTAAATATAAATAAAATAAGATAATAACCAAATAAATCTGTTTATCAGTATGGAAAGGTATGCACTGCATCCAATCATAGGATGAAGAACTGAGAATGTTTACAACTTTAATGTGATTGGCTGGATTGTCAAATGAAGAATATGAGTATGCAGAGCATATCATAAGCATTAATTAGGACAGAGACCTTAACATGTTTATATTTTCATTACAATCAATAGGATTAATAGAGACTCACAGCAGGTGATCACACATGATACCACTTCAAGCATGCACTTCAAACAATCAATTGCTAATTTATTCACTTACTGTACTGAAAAAATGTACAATTATGATAAAAATAGGAGAAAACAATACAACAGCCTGTGGTGAGACCTAATTTAAAAGTGAAGCAAGTCTTAGAATATAGATGCTGAAATAACTCTGAAAAAGGTATACATACTGATTGATTTGTTCTATGATTGAACCAAATCAGAAAGTTACGTAAAAAAGAACTATTATCATTTATAGTAATGCAAATTCTTTACTTTGGATAAGAATAATAATGTCTTTAAGAGTTATTTTTGTAAAAAAAATGGATGTGTATGTAGGTAAGTAGTAATACTATTAAAGTGAATGTACTTACTGCCTCGGTATGTATCGGATGGAGTGCAAATAACAAAGACGCTATAAAACTAGTTGTATCACTGAAGAACTGCGTGCACATTTTCAAAAACATGACGGAAACGACAGCGTGTAGGATGACATTGACCAAGTGATAACCCACAGGGTCAAGTTCTCCCAAACCATAATTGATACGGAAAGTCAGAACACAGATTGGACGGTACGATTTATGACTTCCTTCCTGCAATGGAAAAAATAAGCAGTAAAAATTGTGGATGTTTATGGCAGAAAACAAAGGGAAAGTAAATGAATTGAGGGTGAATGCTAACAGATAATTTTTGCATTTCTTTTTTAATATTTTCACACTCAATTCTGTAGATACTTAGAGTAAGAAAATGGATAACTTTGCTATAATAATAACTTTATTTGAAACGATGCTTTAAATTACAGCAGCACACGCGCGCAGTGCGTTCGACAAAGTAACATACTGTACATAGAGTACAATAAACAAGACACTTTAATACAAGAAAAATTGAGTAAATTGAGTATTTACACAGTTCATCAATTAAATGCCCGTTAAAAAGTTTAGTGAAATTAAACATTTTAAAAACGATAGATTAAGAGATAAAAGAGATATAATATATTAAAACATAGCATGTATCTGATGATTTCTAATCTATCATATACTGTAAGCAACAAACATAAAACATCAGATTGGTTTAAAATTCGCTGTACACTGTAATATCTTTATAATCATATGTACAGTACCATGGGCTGAGTAGAAAATACTAATTTGTGAAATGAATTCAATCAAAACCATAAAATGTCAATTTCTATTAAACCATGCAATAATCTGATATGTGGAATAATTTTCTTTAATTTTGAAAAACAAATAAATGTCAAATATTTTTTTTTCTGCCTAATATAAATTGCGTTCCCTCGAGATTCTAAGATATACAGTGAGAGAAACCAGGACTGTGCCTAACCAAAGGAGAACACTTATGACAGATATCTGTAACGCTATATAATCACATATATCACAATAATGAGAAATGCCTCAAGACGAAAGCACACACGCGGACAGACATGCTTACATGTGCGCACATATCATGCACGCACAGGTGAACTCGGCAATAATAAACAGGCATTAGCTTCAGTAATTGAACATTCCGTTAAGGACCTTAATTCCAGATTAAGCTTGGTTCACTTGGAAATAATAACAATTCTTCAGGCTCAAGGAAAGGTTACAGAGGGTTGTGGAGCTTACTGTAAGAAAGGTTAACAAGGGTTGTGGAGCTTAAGAAAGGTTACCGAGGATTGTGTAGCTTAAGGAAAGTTAACTGAGGATTGTGGAGCTTAGCAGAGAGGAGGATAAGAAAGGTTATAAAGGGTTGTGAAGCTTAGTAGGGACAAGAAAGGATACCAAGGGTTGTGGAACTTAGTAGAAAGGAGGATAAGAAAGGTTACCAAGGGTTGTGGAGCTTAGTAGGGTTAAAAAAGGTATACAAAGGGTTGTGGAGCTTAGTAGAGAAGGATAAGAAAGCTAACCAAGGGTTGAGGAACTTAGCAGAGAGGAGGATAAAAAAGGTAACCAAGGGCTGTGGAGCTTAGTAGAGAAGGATAAGAAAGCTAACCAAGGGTTTAGGAGCTTAGCAGAGAGGAGGATAAAAAAGGTTACCAAGGGTTGTGTCCAGCTTAGTAGAGAAGGATAAGAAAGTTAACCAAGGGTTAAGGAGCTTAGCAAAGAGGAGGATAAGAAAGGTTACCAAGGGTCGTGGAGCTTAGTAGGGACAAGAAAGGATACCAATGGTTGTGGAGCTTAGAAGAGAAGGATCAGAAAGCTAACCAAGGGTTGAGGAGCTTAGCGGAAAGGAGGATAAGAAAGGTTACCGAGGGTTGTGGAGCTTAGTTAGGATAAGAAAGGTTTACCAAGAGTTGTGGAGCTTTAGGAGGATAAGAAAGCTAACCAAGTGTTGAGGAGGTTACACGGTAGCAGCAGAGAGGGAATAAGAAAGGTTACTAAGGGTCACTGAGCTTAGTTGAGATATAAAATAAGAAAAGATAGCAAGGGTTGTGGAACTCGGCAAAAAGGAATATTTTGCAGGTTTTTAATGAGACATGTTAAACTTTATAGCTTTTGTGTCATTATTAGATAAGATGTCATTAAATTGTTATTGTTATTGTCGAATATCAACACAAAGGAATGTGCAGGAGTTTGGGAGTTATTAGAATATTATATTTAATATGAATAGTCACCACAAAAATGTATTGAAAGAATGCTACATCAAATATGTTAAATTCCACTGATGCAAATATTGTATACAGAATACAAATCAAAATAATTTTATTTTGGCAGCAGAAACTTCATTACAAAATCTTTTTTTACAAGTAGATTTAATCAAAAATTATGTCATAACTTTTTTGCATATTATGAATCTTCCTTTATTTTACATTTAATAGAAGTGTATAGTGAATCCTAGTTCGAGGTATTGATTGAAATGCCAGTTGGCTGATAGCAACAACCAAAGAAAGTGCAGCACACTCTCTCACTGATGGGAAATCAGCAAGGTCATTATGATTCATAGAAATCATATCATCCATAATAGTAGCCCCATTACACTATACCAGGGGTTTGCAATCTTTTTAAGCTGTGGGCCAGTCCCAACCTGTAGGGAGCAGCAGCGGGCCTATATAAATTGTGTACTTCTATATTTTTCTATGTCAGCCCCATCCATTTTCTTTTATAGTGGAGAATTTGAAATAGACAGGGGGAAAATACCACCTCAGCCTAACCATAGTGGGGAAAATTTATGATTATGGCATCTCTAGAGGCTCAGAAATGGCACTCTCAGACTTAAATTTGATAATTTTCTTTTCTTCTACATGTTGTTTTAGAATTTTGAAAAAAAAAACTTTTCCTACCACAAAAATATCCACACACCAGGGGTTAGGATTGATGAGGTGAGCAAATTTTTAACATAGATACCTCTAAATTCCTAGAAATTGCAGTTTCAGACTTGAAAATAAGTCTTTAAAGCAGTGTTTTCAACAGATTAACATGCCCCCGAACCTGCTTGTGCCGCAAATGGTACATCGCAGCATTCTGTATCAGTACCCCCGCCTTTAATCTATTGTCCCTATTAGTCTACCCCTCCCCATATAAATACACTAAGCCACTAGATACAGTTAAACTACACTCGGAAAAAGTCATACTCTTGAAAAACAATGCTAGAGAGAGTAGGGATGCCTAAGAGGTGTTTCTATATTAAAACAGAAAAACTTTTTCAAAAAATTGGCCAGAAAATGATTTACTTTTAGCATTTGTTTCGCGGGCCGGATCAAAATCTTTGGTGGGCCAGAGTTGGCCCGCGGGTTGAATACCGGAGCACTATGAACAGTGTATACAGCCCATTGCACTATACTATACATAAAATATGAACAATTTTAATATGTTGATATTGTTAATATTATTCAAAATAAAGTCAAAGAAATTAATGAATGGGCATTAAACATGACACAGTCTTTAAACTACAAGAATGTAGTGAAAGGTGCATGAACTACTGTAATGTCCCATGACCTGAAAGCATGGCACTTAGCCACCATGCCACAGCACCATTTCTTGATAGTATATAAATTAAAAGAATGCTGTTAAGAGTAGAGTATGTAAAAATAAAGTTAAATTTCAAGGATAGAACCAAAACCCCATCAATTGAAAGGATGGCACTTAACCACAATAATAGAAAAGAAAATAAAATCGCAAGATACTGTGACAACCAATCAAGACAAAAAAAAATCAACCTAGATCTGAGGATTCATTAAGAAGTGAAAAGATGGCGCTAAAGAGATACAGACAGCCTATATGCTGATTAATAACCATCCCTCAGGGTCTTATCCAATACAGCATTAACAATTACAAATGACAGATATATTATCTAATATTTTCAGAAGAAGAAAAAACTCTATTTAATGCAAGAAGGAAGACGATTAGCCAAAGCAAACTATATTTTGCTTCTTTATATGTTATGAAATATAGATAAAGATCTTTAGATCCCAGAAATTATTGAAGGAAATTTAATCTTTTCTTATTTATCCTTTTGACTTGATTGGTTGGTTGATTGATTTATTTTCTTTTTTTATATCCAACATCTATTACACTCATGACTTATTCATAGGATGGCCTATAAACTAAATCTCATTATTAGGCCTCACTTAAATCCCTTTTTGGATCTCTTCATCTCAGATGACATTCAAATGAATGTTAGCAAACACTGCATCTTCACAGAGTTTGAATTATTTTAGTTTAATTATGTAAAAAACTAGCGGATCTCTTGTTCACATGCGACCTGTTCCAAAGCATGCTTTTCCCACGCAGGTTTTCAACTCGTGCAAAAGCGTACATTACCAAGTCTATTTAGAAATTGAAGATATATTTCAAGTATTTGCTATAGCAAGACATACTGTAAGTCAATTTCAGATGTGCTGTATGCACTAAAAGATGCAGTGGTAGAGTTTCGTTTTTAATGCAGAAATACCATAATAAATTCCCATATGAACCAAGGGAATCAGGAGCAATCTTAAGTAAGACTGATAACATTTCTTTAGCACGAACTTGTATACTAATTGCTTGCTATTGTTAAATTTAGTCAATGTGATACTCCGGCTCAATCACTCCATTAGGTTTGGAGTATTGTTATCGTCTTCTCTGAACTAAGATCTCTACTTAATCTATGCTAATGGGTGCTCTTTCATCATAGACCTAATCCTATTATTAAGAGATAGAATATTAAATAAATGCAGCCTATAAGGTAGGATAGAAGCCTCAGCTTGTTACTATTACTGTATGCGATCTGAACATTACTATAAATTGCTTTGATAATCGTTATTTTCTTTTCATTCCTATTTTTTTTTTTTTCAAATGTGCTTATTTTCACTTTATACAGTAAACATGTTATATATATGCATATGCCTTAAAACTAAAAGAAAATGCATACTTTTGGAGTCCGTACTGAGCCCAAAAAAATCCACAATGAAAATATGTGTTAGTAGAGACACAACCTTAAACTTGTTATAACGTAGGCATACTGGTAAATCGTAGAATATAAACATTATTGAGAGAGAATTCTAAAAAGAATTTTTATTAGAAAAGAGTTGGGTCAGCTTTGTATTAAATAGTAGTTTTGCTAATTTTGGGTACTACAGTACATTTGGCCATAATAATAATAAAGATGAAAATAGGAATTTATTCAGCACTTTTTTGCCAAAGGTAGAGGTAAGAGAATAGCCCATAACTTGCAGTGATATAGTGCTGAATTGCGTATGGGCGTGGTCCGTGACTACCAAGCCGCCGTAAAGTTACACTTATAGTAACTACATGTTCACATCACTCCACAACGACAGGGACTGAAATGAACAATAGCATCGGGGTAACCCCCTACTCTTCCGGAAGATGCAATGGGTTCTTTAAAGTACACACTGGACCTCCATTTTAAGTCCTTATCCAAGAAGACTTGGTTCTACCTGCCTTACCACTCGGCCACTCAACTTGCCTTGCAGAATAGAAATTTGTTTTTAAAGGTTTGCAATGCCATGTTACTCAAATTATTAATACATTAGAAATGATATTTATTGCTATTCCTAATAAAAATATTTATTCCGTATAATTTAAGATTTTGTATTTTGTATGACCATTTCATGTTTACTGTAAAACACAGTTAAAAAATATAAATTTAATTTTACAATATCTAATCATTCTATATTTAAAAAAATAAAAAAAACAATAAAAAGAAAGTAAAATAAAATCCCAGCCATGGAAATTGCGATAAAGTTTAATTTGTATTACATATTTTGCATATTTTACCTACAGGCACTATTATCTTTGTTGTTTTATGCAATAATGTACATTGTATTTCATTTTTATGCCTTTACATATAATACCTAATTGCTTTCATTGCCTTTCTCATTACTTCACTAAAACTATAATTCCCTTCCTGACAATTAACAATTGGTAGTATTCTTTTTATAATAATCCTCTTAGGGATGGTACTGTAAGTGAATCTATGCTACTGTAGGTGTTGCAGGTAGCACACTATAATAGATACCAGTGTTTAGGGTGCAAAGTAGGATATACAATACAAACATACTTTTAAGGTCTTTAATGGGGTGCCGATACAGTAATCCTACAGTAAAGGTCACTAAAGTCGGACTAAATTAATTTATTCACTTTAATAATATTAATATACTGTAAATGGTTCTTGAATATACAGACAAAAAATTATAATTCAACTAAAGACTAGATGAAATTCGTCCAAGTTTTAACAACATTGTTGTAACTTTTGTAATTGAATGAAGAATAGTGAAAGAGAACAGTAAAGGGAAGAAGAAAGATTGTTACAGATGTATAAACAATGAAGTGAAGTTTGTAGTAGATTGAAAGGAAAGTGCAGCAGAGAATCAATGGATGAGCTATGAGCTATGTACATAATTATGGACCTGTGAAAATAGACTACAGTACTGTATAATGAATGAAGGATTTTAAATCAGGCTGTGTACACTTGGGCATTGATTGGGATGCGTTATTTACTCCTAGGAGTACAATAAACGGAATTGACTGGAATATGCTGCTCATTTTAATGTTACCTTATGCATCGGCGTTCCCCAGAAGTCATTCCACATCAAGTTCGATAGTGGCGATGACGGTCGTAGATCCTTATTCTCCTTGATGGCTGATATGTCATCAAACACAAATCCACATTGCAATGCATTGTGGTAGCAGATGGTAACCAACGCAACCAAAATGGCAGAATAAATGTGAAATGTGTTCTTCTCCATCACTCTTATATCACATGCAAAGAATACCTCTCTATGTTATGGAGATATTCCTGGAGCGTATAAACATTGTTTTACTGCAGAGAACAAAAATATGAATACAATAATTAATATTGGTTAACTGACATTTTTGAATTAAAACCAAATAGACAGTTTAAATAACACATGAGGAAGGACATCTACAATTTCATATAAAATTGTTAGCATTAATTAAAAGAAATAAATTAAACAAGAAATTTTTCCTATAAAAAACACCACAACATCTTTACCTTATTCAATTGTTTATACAGCTAATTCCAAATTTATCCTATGTGTGAATTTTGTTATGACATGACATATAATTTACCGTATTGATTACCTCAATTCTCCCACTTGGATTTTCATTGTAATATTACGGAATTAATTTTGATTAAGCATTAATTAAAAGAAATAAAAAATAAAATAAAATAAATTTAAAAAAAACTAAGAAGTTACTTTTAGGTTGGTGTTACTTGTCAATCACAAGAATAAACTGTACATTAATTATGACCATTCTTTTATAATCATTGTTGTTTTGTTAATCATTTATGTTACTTTCATCTAAAATTGAGTAGGCCTGCCAGCATGTATTACTTCATTATATTTTCTTCTTTTCAATCATATTATCATCAAATTGTAGCAGCAAACCACTCTCTTGAGTAGGGACACCTGAATTAGCTATTGTTTGCTTTTGCACTATATATACAAAAAAAAATATTGTAGACTTTATGGATACTAATTATTATACACTATATAAATATTTGTTTTTATTTTATTTTTTTTAATTGATTGATTAAAATTATAATTTTATATTTCAGTATCATTACAACTTTATTGTATGAAAATTATTATTTTCATTTTAATTTTTATTATTATATTATCATGATTATCTTCAAATTAAATAAAAATCAAACTATTATTGTAATATTATAATTACCAGTTCTATACATACGTACAACAATACAGACTGGTGTTAATAAGGCATTCTAGTTCAATAGTAATACATGTTCCATTGAAAATACTGATAGATATTTTATTTATATTATATTTAATTATGAATCTACCATATTCCCTGCTACCTAAATCTGGCATACAGTTTACTATTTGATACTGTAAAGTTACCACGAACAAAGGGCTCAGATTCACAATCACAAGAGAATTCCATTTTATTTAAAACTTGCTTTAAGGTTCCCCAGTATACCATAGGCTGTGTACTGTACAGCTACAGTACTGTATTCAAATGAGGTATTTCTGTTTGAGAACAGCACATTCGTTATCATTTTGGACTTTAAAACTCTCGATTAAATATTTAACATGTAAATACGGTATATCTATTATCATATTTCAGCGTTTTTAAGGCTCGATGTTATAATAATGGAATGTGAATTTGTGTTAAACAAGCAGCCAAGAAAATACTAAAAACAATTATATTAGCATCATACTTTCTGATTATAAAAAAAATTAGTTAAAATAAAAAGTAAAATTATTTATAAATAGTACAGTATCTTCTGGGGGTGAATTATTTATGACAAAAAAACATGCTCCACAAGTTAACAACATAGTAAATAATATTTAATAAAATAGGATAAATTCTACATCAATATTTTAAATAAATAAAATATCATTTTAAATAACTAAGATAATACTTAGCATTATATAAATGTAAGCATAGTAAAAATAATTATTATTATAGTGTAATGTACTAAATAATATCAAATATAATTTTTATATTCAATCCTGTCACTTTCACACCTTTCATGTCAGTAGCAGCACTGACATCAAGGAGAGTATAAAGGTTATAAAAATATCCAGCATCTTGTCCAGCATTGACTCAGTAGCACAGGCCCTTGGGACTTAACACGTCAAGTTTTCATGCTAAGTATATTGAAGGAGTATCATAAAGCTTGTCACGTACAGACATGATACATAGTTCGGGTTTTCAAGCCATGTAAGCTATTTATCTTAATGCTATACTTAGGATGTTGCTCTTCAGTTGGAAATGCCGCTAAGCAGTGAGAACAGTAGGGCTACATACAGTAGGATTCATCAACATGCTAATTCAAACCTAGACAGAGAATATTAGTAACTATACAAAATCTGAATTTAATCATTTGCATAGAAAGGAAAATATTGTTGCAGATATGACTGTGGGTACTGTACTGTGTAGAGCTTTCTGTACACAGTATAGAACTTAGTATTTAACTGATCAAATACTTTCATCTGGTTTCAACATGTTTATACGCAAACAGCCTGCAACTTCGAATTGATATATTTCCACATCTATCAGAAATCTTATTTGTAAATGTTTACATGCCTCAGCAAGTAAATCTTTTGAAGGTTATATTTTAGATGGCAAATTAGGCTGAGCAATTTTGTGAACACACTAAACAATGTTTTTTTCTTATGATACTAATGTAAATGGAGGTTTGTATTTTGCAAATGTACCTTCCAGCTCCCATTATTCATATAATTCTCCATATCCTATAAATTGAATTAGGCCTTGTGGGCCAAAAACTGGAGCTGACATTTAAGCGATTCCAGCTAGCAAATAACTTCTATTGAAAATATATATCCAAATGAACAAATTATAATGCAAATTATAATACAACAATGATGTATAGCGAGCAATTTCTACCTTAAAATTCCTGAATATGTAAAAAGACAATTTATCTATACATAGCTGCATTTATAGTATATTGTTAAAAAATATGATTCAATTTGTCTAGTGAAGCCTAAACATAGGCATATTTGTGTCTCATTGCTAATTATTAATAAAGTGTATACTTAAACTTAACTGTACCAACTGTACAGCAGTACTGTATGTACTAGGCCTACACAACAGAAACAGAGTAGCCTAGGCCCTAGCTTGAACTTTACCTTATGTTTTTTTTTTTGACATTTCGATATCGACAGGTTAACGTATATAGCAATGACTGTTAATACATCTACAACAGTCCTCGGTATAACTAAAGACTACGAGTATAATTTACACATTTCTATTAAAGTGCACTGTGCTAGGCTATGTACCTTTCGGGACCTCAAAGATTCATTAATCACAGTCTCGCAGTGAAGGATAAAATCCGCGCCACTTCAAAAATCTATGTACGAGGCCAAGGCAAGGGCCTAGGCTAGACTTGGAAGTTGATTTACTATGTAAATAAGAAACTCACAAGGTAAGCTTACTTATATGAGTTGACTAAATATAACAAGTAGTTGCTTAAGAAAGCTCACCTCATCTGACACCTGTATGTTCCTCAGAGTTTTGATAAAAGTAGTGAACTATCGAGAGGCAATCCACTATACATCTTCCCCTCGAATCCTTTGGTGTTGATTCTATAC